CACATCAGCCAGAGCACCGACCAACCTGAGGTACGGACTTACATCACTCCCATGCCCAGAGCAATCGTGAGACCGATCTTCTTCATCATTGACATTTGAAGCCTCCAAAGAACAACGGCCGGGTAAACTGCGAGATAAAAGTCGAGAAAAGCGGACCAGGCTAAACATCATCAGCTGCTTCGTCCAAACCGTGGAAAGTCATCCCGGCTTACAACTAGCCCAAAAAGCCAAACCCTCAATGACCTTTGGCTTGATGCAGTTCCTCGGTAAATCAAAGTTCCAGGCAGCGCTTGGAGGCGAGCACTGCAGTAAGAGCGTCATCACCGTGACAGTGAGCAATATAACGCAGCCGATGCTCAGCGCCCACAAGATCCGGAGGTGCAATTTGCCAGGCGCGAGGAGGCGTGAGAGAAGGCAGACGACCGCCAACTTGGGGAAGCCGAGTGTCTCGATTCCTGGCACATATGCAGCGATCATCCATCTCATGACCTCTTGTTGGTGTTCCTGGTCGAGAGTGTCCCAGTGTTGCCCGTTGCCCCAATGAACTGATAAGATTACTAGTGAGTTTGAACAAACTGCGCAGATCTGTTGTCGTGTCAGGCAGTCAATCTTGGGCTGGTGATGAGGAGAGAAAGAGACGTACGATTGAGAGAATGATCCAGTAGTCGTCGCTCATGAGCTTGTTGTATACCGCGAGTCGAACGAATAGCCGGGCGGCCACGAATAGGAGACTCAGTCCTGTGAAGGCCCAGCAGGCTGCGATGATTAGGGGTCCTTTGTCTTCCATGGTCTTCTGAGCGCAAGTGATGATGCTTCCGACGTATGTGGAAAGCATAGAACGACACGACGGGATGCGAGAGGAAATATGAATGCTGCAGCAGATGCCGAGTCTCGCGCGATGCCAGAAGCCGACGCCTCTCCCGGCGGGCGGATCCCCGAAATTTGACATTGTTTGAAAATGCTTCGCCGTTGGTGCTGAACTGATCCTTCGGCATATTTGTTGTAGTTGCGGCTGAACGGGACGTCGAAGACAGTGCTAAATCGAGGACCCAGATACCGGGTGAAGATCTTTATGTTCCGGAACCCCGGTGACGGGCAAACATAGAACATTGTGAGTGTGTCTCTGTCATTTCAGAATTTCGCATATTTGTCGTACACATCATTGTTGTTGAAGAAGCTCTTGGCTGGGAGATCAATGTTGTAGGCCACACTGTGAGTGAAGTCCTGGACGCGGCGTCGAGATGTTTGTGGTGTCTATGCAACGGGTGAGGCTGGGGACTAATTCGTAAGAGGCAACTTAGATGTCAGCCATCTTTCTAGCTGATCTTCGTCTATTTTACGAAAATGAACGTCAACAAGCAAACAACGTGTGGTCAGGGTGCAACGACCCCAGCTCCAACGCACGTTCAGGAACCAACAACCCCGGCCCCAACGGCTTTTCGTCCTCTTTATGGACTGAAACCCACAGCTCCAGCCAATGCAGTCAAGAAGCGCACAATCCACCTGTCAGCCTAAGTAGGGCCTCGCCGTGTCGGCATACCGCTTCCAGGTGACAAACATTAAAGTGGAAGAGGGACTTCTGCGACCCTGGCCTGTCACACGAAGACGTCTGAGGGGTAGTATGCCATTCCCCATGAGACTTTCCTGGTGTCTGTCATATCTAATCTTACCAATCTTTGACAGAGCTCTGGCATTGGTTACCGTGGGTTTGGGACGCTTCATCGTAACACGGCCGCGTGATTTCTCGCTGGTCGTCCACGCAGGTGATTCTGAGGGAGTGCCAGGCCTGGTTTAAAGTATACACAACCCTATGGATGTTCTCGATTAGGAAAATGTACTGTTTGCAAACTTTTTCAGTCCCTGAAGAAATGGTTCTCAATTTCGCACTAGAACACATCAATTCATACGTCAGGCGATCGAAGCCCAGCGATTGATACCTCATGCGGTGGCTCAGTCGCCGGTGTCAATATCGGGCTTTGGAATCTCTTGGCTTGAATAAAGGAGAATCTGTTGCAGGAAGGCGACGATCGTGACGAGCCCCTGAGATAGCCTCGGTTCTCCTCGATGGACGGTTTGGCGCAGTACGGCCCGACACATGGACTTTGTAACGTCTTCAAGTTGCTTTCTAAGCCAGATACCAGTGTATTAGAGAAATGAATGGGGGGGGGGGGGGGGGGGGGGGGGGGAAGCATGCCGGCTAGTCCACCAGTCATCCAGCCCCAATGCCGTCAAAAAGAAAGCTGTGTTCTCCCTCAATGAAGCTCAAGACAGACTCCTCAGGGCGGCAACAACTAATAGGTCGACGGATAAGTGATCCTATTCCGGCGGTGTCATGTTTCAAGTGCTTTCGGTCCGATGAGCAGAGCCTCGGATACATCATTACAGGAAGTAAAGGATTGATTGCAGAAAAGGAGAATTCTGTCATTCCTTGAATAGGCAAGGTTCTTTGCCACGGTGCAGCTGTCATCGTACCCTTGATGTTACGTCCTCATTCTCCGACATGAACGCCGACACACCGCTCCGGCTTGATGTTGCTGGCGGTAGCGGATACGAATTTGGTGACTGCGCGGAGCTTTCTCTGAAGCCTCTCGTTCCCCATTGTCATCGACCTACTTCCTTCATTTGTTGGCGACTTCCACTAGGTTCACCTATACTTCAGGGAAGTTTGACCGTATCGGGAATGTAAGCAACACCAATACGTTGATGATAAGTGCTTTAATTGGCCTGGACAAGGCACGGAGACACGAGCCGAATATTGTTGGCTGTTGTCTCACGAGAGACACTTCTTGAGAGGTGTTCAGAAGACCCACAAGTAAGAAGTCAAACTGTTCTAGGCCTCAAGATGTGACGTGCCCCGTAAGTTCGTGTCCTTCCACCAGGGTCAGACAGCGTCGCAACGGGATTCGTATCCCAGAGTTTGAATGTTTGCGTGTTTGGCGGGTCTCGGAGGCATCCCCATCTGCACGGTCTTGGCAGCTAATGCAGATCACTTTGCGTCGCGGAGCAAATGTCGCCATGTCGCGCTTACTTTGGCGTACAAACTTCAGGGGATGATGGATTTCAAGGCTCACGGGAACTTTTAGTCTCGTCCAGGATTCGGCCTGTGGGCTTGCGCTCCTTTGAGCGATCCACCAAGCTGGGCGTGCGTGTTAACAGGCGCGATATTCAGTATAATTGCGTATCATGGATGTCTCTCAACACCATTTTCAGTGATTTCTCCATGATGTTGCAGTGGGGAGTGTTCATGAAGCCGCAAATCTAACCCGCAATCCGACCGGCGATGCTCCGGAGAAGTTCGGGAAAAGTGGACCGGTTGACCGCGCGTCGCCGAAATGTGTCTCAGATGACGGGGTCGACGACGCGGATGGGCCTCATATTTAAGTGAAAGACCTGACTACGGAAACCTCTCCAGAATCGCAGCCACAGTCTCATTCTCAGTTATCACAGGCATGTGTCGTGCACGCCAACCAATGGCATTGAGTGAATAAAGTACCCAAGTCACGAGCTTCGCTTCTATGAAACCTCGGCCGTTTACCATTCACATAACCGGAATACTCCGAAGAAAGTTATGACTAGGGGGGATACACTGTGTTTGCTGCTCACACTTACCAGAACAATATCCCTTGGTACAAGATTGAAGTAACGAAGTTGCAGCATCTGCCTATGGTACTTAGGCATGATACTGTCGAAACTTATGGTACAACACGCGGAGCATTCTTTGCTACCAAGAACTTTTGATCATGGAGGTATTACATCATACGAGAAGCTCCTTTCCGTAGGCATAGATGAGAAAGTCAGAGAAGCCAGCGCGTTCCGCTAGACAGAGCCAAGTCTGACCACCAATGTTAGTATAAAACATACGTAGAGGACCAGGAACAGGAAGAACAAACCAATCCGCGAGCTGGCGTATATCTTTGTTCTTTCTTATTGCCCGAAATACAGGTAGGCAGGCTCAGGTGGGGTTCTCTGGCCTTCATAATCATCGAGGCGTGGTACTGGTTGCGTTCTTTATTCTGCGTCCTATTCAGCTCATTACTAGTCATTTTCGTCTTTTGCCTATTCGAAAGCAATACCTCCGGCCGAGGAACCTACTGTTGCAAAAGCGGCTTGCGCAAATGGGGGATTCTCCTAACATGACAATTACTGGCTGTTATTCCTCTACATTTCTACCATCAGATCCAACAAAGTATATGATCTTTTACGTCAAGGACTACGAGCAAATTGTTGAGGCTTGGTTGGCCATTCAACGGGAGGCCGCCTGCGATGAGGCGTTGCTGAGGTAGGTCTCTAATGCCAGGTTTTAGATACGTTTTGTTCAACACCTCATACGGAGGAATGATGAGCTTGCATTCCGAAGACAGCACGACTCACATCAAATATGGGAACATCTGTGTCAGTCAAGTTCCTAATGCATATGCTCTTTCCTGCGCATTCAATGATGGCCATACAGCCTTCGGGTCTCATGAACAGGGAACGTCGGAGAAATTGCTCCACAACGACCAACAAGCAATACATGGCCATGACCCATTGCTCAAGCAAACAGTTGTCCCAAAGCTTACGAGGACATAGGTGAGAGCATGGATTTGCCAGCTATGGGCTCTTCGCTCTGGTTCCAGCCCAGATTCGAAAGACGGATGACTGAGAGTCAAGGCGGCAAAAATACACACGGGGAGTACCTATCTCTCTTGAGGGGACGTCCAAGCCAGAACACTTTCTCTTATTCTGGCCGTCGTGGTTTCACATCTTAAGTAGAGCCGCTGAATATTCGTCAGTCATAAACCCATATGTGTTGGTCACAATAAGCCTCAGAACATGTTCAACTGAGCCTTGTCACTATCTCAGCCATCTCGCAGTACGTGGCGAGCTATACAACCCTCCGCACGCCAAGCTAATCTTGCTTTTCCGTATTCCCGTTTCTTTTTTGTCCAGTTCGCAAATTCAGCCAAAAACATCATTCACTCATCAAATGGTCCCTTCCCAATGCTGCGCCCGCAAACACTTTATGCCTTGAGGATCTTGGCCAGCTCGGCGACGATGGCGTCACCGACCTCCTTGGTGCCGGCGCTGCCGCCGAGGTCCTTCGTGCGCAGACCGTTGTCGATGACGGCCTTGACGGCGTCCTCGACGGCCTGGGCCTCCTTGGGCAGGTTGAGGGAGTAGCGGAGCATCATGGCGACGGAGAGGATGGTGCCAATGGGGTTGACGACGCCCTGGCCGGAGATATCGGGGGCAGAGCCTGTCAATTGAATTAGCACACTTCAACCGGTGAGGGGTGTCAGGAGAAACATACCGTGGATGGGCTCGTAGATGCCGTTGCACTTGCCCTTGCCGTCGGGGATGCCGCTCAAGCTGGCACTGGGGAGCAGACCGATGCTGCCGGGGATAACACTGGCCTCGTCGGAGATGATGTCGCCGAACAGGTTGCTCGTGACGACGACGCCGTTCAGGGCGCGGGGGTTCTTGACGAGGATCATGGCGGCGGAGTCGATGAGCTGGTGCTCGATCTTGAGCTGGGGGAACTCCCTCTCGAACAGCTCGGTGATGACCTTGCGCCACAGGCGGCTGGTGGCCAGGACGTTGGCCTTGTCCAAGCTCCAGACGGTCTTCTCGCCGCGGGCGATGGCGAGGAAGCCGGCCAGGCGGCCGATGCGCTCGACCTCCTCGCGGGAGTAGGGCTCCGAGTCCCAGGCCTTGCCGTCGCCGGTGTCCTCCTTGCGCTCGCCAAAGTAGATGCCGCCGGTCAGCTCGCGGACGATGACCATGTCGGTGCCGCGGCAGACGTCGGCCTTGAGGGGGGAGAAGTCGACGAGGGCCTCGGAGGCGAAGCTGCAGGGGCGCAGGTTACCGTAGGTTCCCATCTCCTTGCGGAGCCTCAGGAGACCCTGCTCGGGGCGGACGGCGCCGGTGCCCCATTTCGGGCCGCCGATGGCGCCGAGGAGGACGGCGTCGGCGGAGTTGGCGGCGGCGAGGGCCTCGTCGGTGAGGGGGGAGCCGGTGGCGTCGATGGAGGCCTGGCGGGCGGGTGGTTAGAGTGCCGTTGTGGGATTGAGCAGCGGGCGGGACCGGAGGAGACTTACACCACCCAGGAGGTGGTCCTGGAGGTTGAACTTGCCGGCGGAGGGGCTGCCGGACTCAATTGTCTTGAGGACCTGCGGGAATTGGTCAGTCTCGCGATGCGTGACGCGTCGGTCCGTTTGTGAGGCATACCTTGACAGCCTCAGCGACAACCTAGAACAGAGTTTCGTTAGCTACGTTCCCCGCCAAGCCGAAGCTTCTCCGTTGCGCGAGCTCACCTCGGGACCGCAGTGGTCACCAGCAAACACCACGATGTTGTGCGTCGCCATCTTGTCTGTTGTTGAAAATAGGAGGGGGTGTTGAAGGGGATTGAAGGACAAGGGAGAGGGTATCAGGTTGCAATTGAAGCAGATGTGAAGAAGAAAAGAAGCAAGTTGAGCAGCAAGTCAGGTACGAAGGAAATGAGTCCGTTCCGGCGAACAGGTGAGCTGTTTGCCCCGCATCCCGCACAAGATTGAAAAAGTTAGGCCCAGTTCCAACCCCGCCTTCCGAAGTCGGAGCCGTAGCTTCACTGAGGTTCGCCCTGGAAACTGCCCTGGAGCCTGCGCCCCGCACTCACCCAGCACCCCACGGAGCTGCACAGCGTCGTCGTTCGGCTTCCGTCGGCGCCGGTTCGTCCCGGCGCCCCAGTCTTCTTCCCTCTTCCGGTCGTCTCTCCGGCGACGATCCTCCCCTTTCGTATATCTCGCTCGGGAAGATGCAGGCCGAGTGGTGTCACTCGCATTGCCGGCATTGGTGCCGTGTCGGTGGAAACACCGGCTTTTCCGAGGCAAGGTCGTTCTGCGGCTTTCCCACCCCAACTATATTCGTAGACCGAATTGGCAATATTGAAACGGAACATGCAACAGTGAAGGCAATCGTTCGAGCAAACCCAATGTCAGTATGTGGCCTGGTGCCTTGTCTTACAGCATTAGATGTTGGGGTGCTCCATGCATGACTGTGGTGGATGCAGCGTCTAAGACGGCTAGAAGTGCTATTGCATAAAGATTTCTCTTCTCTTCATCGCCGGTGTCAAAGTATTCGGAAGCAGCAAGATCTATTGAGAAATTTGCTGCAACCTTAGAGTTGGAAAATATCTTAATCTCCGTGTACACCGCATACTACACAGCTTAGTTGTTGGAGCCGTCATACCTCCCAAACTTATCCGGGTTCCGTTCCTCCATTCTTTGGCATCTCTCTCGAAAACCTGGAAGATCGCTCTTAAGTATGCCCACATGTCCACATCTGACCCTGTGAGTTGCAACATGGACGGCTCTTTGGGTTGACATATAGATATTCCGATTTTCTGTGTTGACTGCCGTTTCACACCCCAAATCATTCAGGCGGGTGCGAAAGACGTTTGATAATGAGTACCAAGGGCTGCACAAAGTCAAAGTTCGACGTGGCATCAGAGGAAAGATCAGCACTTGGGCGCCGCTCGCTCAGTTAAGCTACCTACACAACACAAGAATACGCTTAGGACAGACGGCGAGGGTAATGACCGGGGACAAGACAAGGCAGAAAGCGACGCAACGTCCGAGAATCGCATACGTGCTGAAGATGACATCATCCGGTGAGACTGAGGACTTGATTACAAAGGCCGAGTTCACGAAATGCTGTGACTTTGTTGCCTAACAATTCCGTCAAGAAGAGGCACACAGCTCACCACCCAGATGTATTCCCGACCAGAGAAAGGGCGACATAATGTCCGTCTCGTCTCGTATGAAAAGCTTTGTGCGTGTTCAGACCGTATTAAGAGGAAGCCTTACTTGGGCGAGTCATCGATAGCTTCCATAGAGCATCAGAGTCCGCCTGAAACGAACCCAATCGCCCCTCTTGCATCTCTCCGGCTATATGAATGGTGTGTCTCCCCGAGCTCTATCTCTCTTTACACAAATGGACGCAACAGAATCCCTTCCTTTGTAGCGAGACAACTTGTGGGCCACAGGATCTATCCAAGATCTAAACGGGACATTCGCATGCAGAACGCTACCGTCTTTTCAACCGTCGAGTGGAAGAATACACCCCGAAGAAACCCTGCGATACACCAAGGCTCGGGATACAGGAAGAAGCCATCAACAATGACGGCAATATAATGTAGCATAGTTAGCACAGGAGGAACTGAGAGCGCCGGCTAGATCGCAAATATAGATGATGACGATGTCGAGGGTATATGATCACTAAGAATCAATCCTGCCGGCACCAACCCATTGTCAAGTGCTATAGTTTCGATATGTATGAATCACGCAGAATGTGGAATATACAATCGAATATACACGATTATGACATCCTCCCGAATTCTTCTGTGACATGCCTCTGCGTATATCGCGTTCGTTTGGAAAGAAACCCATCAAGAATCTTTCCAAGGTAGGCAGTCATGGCGCTAACTTGAGGTCCATATAAAACGTGAATGATGGATCTGAGGTCTAACATTTCACCACACTTTGTCCCAAATCTTTGTGATGTTCTCTAATAAAGGCAGTATGACTTCCAGCGATCGGGCACTTGAAGACAGCATAAGTCTCTTAATCTTGACGCCTTGATCTACCCGTATACATTCCCTTTCTTTCACTCCTGGTATCCCCTCCGTATTCAGGCACAATACACACGGAGAAAGTTTGCATGAACGAAGTGCCTATGCTTCAACATTCATCTTGTTACCAATCGCCATTCCACGGCTTGGGGCACCTGTCTGTGACGTCTCCTGACAGACCCATTCCAAAACCAAAAGAAATGGGGAAAACATTGGCCAATTTTGTCGTGCGTTTGGAACTTGCCACGTCCATCCATTCCTCTTATACTTTCACCCACGACCTCCCCGTCTGGACGACCGACGTACTCAGCGAGGTCAACAATGGCGGTTGCTTCCCGGTTATAAATTGAGCAGAATCAACCCTTTCCTCTCGCTTCAACAACAGATCCAACATTTCTGAGATCGTCTCGACGGCAGTAAAGACATAGTCTCGCGGCAGTGCGCTAGTTTTGTATCCCGGTTCAACCACACCCTGAACCCCGCCTCCCATCAAAAACGGATGGTACTCGACATAATACGATGACGCCGCGGTACGAATACGCCAAAGACAACAGAAGTGCAGAAAACCGTAAGAGCTTAAGATGGCGCCAGCAAGAAGATGGATAATAGAACAGCAAACGGAGGAATGTTTGGGGTTACCAGACGTTACCTACCGCTGGAGCTTTGATCTCACCTCGTTCAATTACGCAAAAGTCCATACTCCATCGTTGAATTGACAAATCAATGCCTGTGAAGGCATATATATATATATATATATATATATACACACTTCCCGGACGTGGATGTCAATTACAAGGTATGCGGGGCATCGCACACTTGGGCGGAATCAAGCCCGCAGGGGTACATCACAACCTCATATTTGAGAAACTGCGTTCTCGATCGCCGCAGCTTAGGATCACTTCGATTGGACATCGACGTACGGGATGCGTAGCCTCGTGTTGTTCATTAAATCGCAAGTGTGTACACTCTCGGGTATCATATGTACTCATCAACGTCCAGGATGACTTGATGGCGGATTGCCCCGGGTTCTCTTTCTAAACTTTTTCTTTCCTTTGGCAAAGACATTATTGCAGCGTCGGAAGCCTGAAATATTACATTGAAAGCTCGACTGGGCCACGAGCTACCGGAACGATTTGTGCTTTAGCGGGCTCGCCCCTGACGGGCCCAGCACTGGACCGTTGCCGCGATGCCGTCCACCGCGCATGTTGGGGGTGTTGGAGCAGAAGGCACAGATATATACACTCGGAAGGGTCCTCCGCGAAATGTTGATGCAAGGGCCGTGAAGCCACATCTCGCAGGATTCGCTGGGAATGGTCAGCCAAGTCGATCACCACAACCTTCGTCAGACTTACCACTGGACCATGTACTCTCCTGGCCTGTCAGCGTTGTTCCTGCAAACGCAGCGCACACTGTAGGTGGCTTTTGTGGGCGAAGGCAAGCTGGCCTCGGTCAGGGCGCCGGGCGACATTAGACGTCCTTGGAAATTCCCAACAAAGCTGCCAGAGGCAAAACGGTTGGACCGCTGGCTGCCGAGGACCTGGGGACCTCGCTTCTGGCGGCTCTCAATCAACTTTCGCAGTTCGCTTGCGGCGTCGCCGCCTTTCCCGTGGTTATCATTCATCACTGTCTCTGCTTCGCTCTCGGCGTCGTGTTGTGAAGTTGATGCACCATGGCTGCTTGAGCTGTGTTCGCTCACGCTTCTGCGAGGTGAATGGAACATGGAAGACGAAGTAGGCTTGCGAGGATCAGGGAGCGCAAAGGATGTGTTCCGGCTGGGAATGATGATGGGCTCGTCATCTGTTGAAGAATCATCGTCCTCAGAGTCCCAGCTCTTTTCTCTGCGCGGCATTTCCCTGGCGACGGGCTTCCTCTGTGCGCCATTGGATCCGGCATCATCAACAACGACGGTGGTCTCAGCTCGGGCTCTGCCTTTCGAGTCAATTGTGAACTTGACGGACGTCCGGGTACGGGGGCTCGATTCAGGGATTGACGTCAGGCTTGATAGCCGCGAGTGCTGCTGCTTCAGAGGTGATATTCTGCCTGAAGGTCGACTCAGAGGCCGACTGGGTCCTACGGCCGGACCGTTGTTGACCACAGGTCTGGGCTGGATGGCGGGAGCCAGCGTCGGCAGCGCCTTACGACGGCCACGGTTCTCACTAACGCTTCGTTGAAGCCCGTTGGGGCGTCCCTGGGACTTGGAGGGCGAGCTTCCCAACGTGTGGTCTGGCATTCTACTGGGTGCCAACTCCCTGGAACTGAGGGAACGGCGTATGTCCCCGCCGTGCATTGGTGCTCTTGATTGGGTTTCCGCAGCCGCTGCCAAAGCATATTGTGCGGACCCTTGTGTCACGGGGATATTGGTCTCCATATTCGAAGATGACGGTCGACTGAAAAGCAGGCCCGGATCCACACCGGCGCCGGGGCTAACAATACCAAAAGGATCCTCGGCCGACGTCGTGAACGAAGCCATGGAAATATCCGCTGAGCTGGACTGGACGTTAGACGCAGGGGGCTTGGGAGCCAGGGGTCGGCTGCGCTTGACGGGCTGAGTATTTTCTTGACTATTTGCCGGCGGAAGGGGGGTTGTTTCCTGGAACATTTGTGAAGCGTCAAACGACGGCATGTGACGATGGGTTGGCTGGAAAACATTAGGACCAAAAGAGAAATCAATGTCCATTGCCGACATGTCGGCGCCGGGGTCCCAGAAGCTGTTGGGAGCCGTTGCCGGCGCCGACATGGGATAGCCGAACATGTCGG